CGGCTCTCATTCGCGAGACCACCGACGGGCAGAAACCCGTTTATTTCACGAGCAAAGCCCTACAAGGGCCCGAGAGCAGATACCAACAGATAGAAAAAGTAGCTCTAGCCCTCGTCAACGCGGCGAGGAGACTCTGACACTACTTCCTGACTCATACGATCATAGTACGAACCAATCAACCAGTGAGACAGCTCTTAGGTCGACCCGACATGGCGGGCAGAATGTTGAAATGGTCCTTGGAGTTGTCCGAGTTCGACATTCAATACGAAAGCAGGAAAGCCCTGAAGGCACAAGCCCTGGCCGACTTTGTCGCGGAGTTGACCGCCCACAACCCCCCCACAGGGAAAGAATAGAAGTGGATCATCTTCGTCGACGGAGCCTCCAGCTCCTCAAGGAGCGGCGCAGGGATCCTCCTGGAAAACGAGGAGGGCGTGGTGATCGAGCACTCGTTAACCCTCTCCTTCCCGACATCGAACAACCAAGCGGAGTACGAGACCCTGCTCGCGGGACTAAGGCTAACTGAGGACCTAGGAGCACGTGAAGTACAAATTTTCACAGACTCTCAACTCGTTGCTTCCCAAGTCCAGGGGAGCTAGCAGGCCCCAAAACAAATAAAAACCAATATGCGGGTACGCAGGCCCGAACAAAAACTTCACGCTAAACGTCTCCAGGACTACTGGCATCTACCACAGGAGACTCAGGAGGAGGCACGACCTGACCGTCAATAATCTGAGACATGAACCCGACTCCCTCGGTATTCATGCCAGGATTCAGGATGGCGAGCTGGATGACCGCAACCTCGAACCCATCGGCTAAGGCACTAACACAGTCCGTCTCAAGAAGGTGGATACACGCAACCAAATCTGAACGAGTCCGCAGAGAGGCTGTCTCCTCCGACTCATCGTCGACAGGAAACGTAGCAGCTTTTAGCTCCTCGACTTCCTTGGACAGACGGTCGTTGTCACTCTCCAAGCGTTCCTTGTCCAGTTGGAGGCAATCCCTCTCCTCAGCAACCTTCGCAGAGTTTTCCTTCTCCCCCGCCAGCAGGACGGCTTGCTCGTGGAACATTTCCTCGGACCGCTCGAGGGCCGCCTTTAACTTACGAGAACTGGCAGCAAGAGCGGCTTTCTCTGACTCCAACTCCCTAACACGGTCTGAGGAGTCCGACCCTTCCTCGGCAAGGACCACGGCCATCTCGGCCGTCTTCACCGTCTCGACCATACTGGCGGCGAGGTGTTTCCTCCGGATCTCTTTGTCAAGCCGCCTAATAGTCTCGGCCTCGTCATTGCTCACCGTCAGAGGAAACCCCTCGAAGAAATCTTTCTCTTTGAAGCAGGGGGGTAAGCCGAAAGCCCTCGTAGCTACAGACTCGTCGCCAACCTCCGACCTGTTTTCAGCTCGACTTCTCTTCCTGGGAATCAGCTCGGTGGGTTGCTCGACATCGGGAGAGCCCGAGGACCCACTAGAGGCATCTCCGCCTGAACTGGCCGGCGGCCCCATCCTCGTGGCTTGCGGTGCCCTCACCAACCTTTTATTTATTTTCTTGCCGTGGGTTAGTTTTAATAACCTCTCTCGCCGTTCAGCCATGTCGCCTACAAAAAGGAGTAAAACTCGGGTTAGCTGTAAGCGAGCAAAAACAACAAAAATGGAATAAAACAATAAGAGCAGAAGCAAGAAACCTAGCAGATCTACAGCCTGCCCGTAAGATTGGCACTCGACGAGCGCTTTCGTGTTAATGGGACGAGCCTCGAATGTCGGGTACCCCTCCTCGTCGAGAATATCTTCCCCCTCCCTCGTGACCCACCGGGCAGGGAAGAAGCTGTCAACGTACTTACACAGGACAGCATATGCCTCCTCGTCCTCGGCGCTCATGCTACCCGCGGGTGTATGATAGTACCCGGTGCCATGGTCGTAATGGCCCGAGCACCAATGAATTAGAAACTTTGAAATACGTCCGACCGCCGGACGACCCTCAGCATCCACCAGGGGCTCCCCGTCCGCGTCGACCACCGTGGTTTCTGATTCGAACTGGGAGTCCAAGGCAATTTGGGTGACCGGCTGTAGAACATACCATTTATCCTTAAAGTCCCTTACCGAATCCATATACATCCGGAACAGCCTCTTCGACTGTTTCAGGGACACCCAACTGTGCCTGCCTCCTCGAGACTGACGTTGTAGGTGAAAGACCCTGAAGAAAAGGGGAATCGTCGCCCTGATTCTCAGGAAACGGCACGTCAGCTCGAATGCCCGAAGGAAGGCGATCGAGTTAGGGTGAAGCTGCGAAGGGGCCAGATTCAAATGGCTGAACACCCCGACTTGAAAGTCGCTGAAGGGTAATTTAAGACCGAGATCCCTGAACATGATCTCGTACATAGGGAACCCGTACTCAGTAAACTCCGAGCATATGCGCGCATCAATCGACGGCCTCATCACTACAAAATTCTTTTGAAAACCTGGCTGACTGTCGCCATGCTCGACGATAGTATAAGCACGCCGACTTCGCCGACAGTACGCCGAGGCAATCCCTCGGGGCTCGACACCCACCCAGTCCAACATGGGGTCATCAATGGTGTCGGCTAAGGTGACACTCTCCTCGGTACTTGTATCCTCGACTTCATTTTGCCTCGAAGATTCTGGTTCGTCGGCCATTTACCTGCAAAGCACAGGAAACCGGTGAATTCGAGAGCAAATCCGCGTGCTCGCCACAGAGACAGGAAGTAGTACACAACAAGCCGAGCACGGACACCCCAGCTCCAACCACGCATTGGGGACAACGAGGGAGTAGCACGAACGCCCCGGGCGAAACATGGATCACTCGAGCAAGTTCCTGACTTCGCCTGCCCGGCACTAGGACACCGCGAGAAGGCTACCCTACATACTTCCTAAAAAGGATGAACATCCCGGCCAGTTCATGGGCAGTATCATAAGTCATATGCCTAAAACTATGAACGTCACGGGTAACATCATAAGTCATATGCCTAAAGCTATGAAGGTCACGGGCAGTATCGCGGGTTATGTACCTAAACTATGAGTTTACGGGGCACAATCATGAATCTACTGGGCACTACTCCCAGATATGGGTTTCTAACATCAAAAATAACATCAAAACTACCTACAGAGAAGAAAAACAGGTGGAACGAACACTTACTTGGAAGAAAAGAGATACGTACGACGGCGGTGGAAGTAATCAGCGGCGAATGGTGTGGTAATCTCACGGCGTTGTAGGAAACGACGACGGCAGAATCAGAGAAAGAGGGAGAAGCGCGAAGAGGAAAAACAAATTATGGGCCCAAGGGTCCTATTTATAGGGATGACGTGGAATACGAAATGTCGCATCGGGGAGCAGCGAACTTCCCCGTCCTCGACATCTACTCCCCTAGGTAATGATGACCTTATTGTTGCTAGGGTGGCGTTACGATTCCCAAGGATTGTCTCGTGTATCCGACAAAATGCAGCCCGCGAGGACTTCCTCGAGCACGCCTCGACAAGGATTGCCCTGCGTATCCGACGAACGCAACCCACGAGAAGTTCCTCGAGCACGCTTCGAAAAACAAAAAGCCCTGGTCTGGCCATCAAGTTCCCGCAGTAAAAGCGAGCTAAGATCAAGTCATAACTCCTGCACCATGAGCAACGACTTGGGGGCTCCTGTTCTGGACTGGGCTCGCCTTGGCCCAAAAGGCAGATAAAGGCCTAAATCCAAACAACTACTCGAGGAATGCTAACGAACGGACCATCACCGAACGTGCCCGACCACAGACTGCAGCTGCCATGCCCGCCATTGCCCGCGACAAGCAGTGTCCCCGGCCAAGGGAACACCAGCTCGAGTCCAGCTCGAGCACCCTCCCCGTAGGGCAGATTCTGTCCACCCTAATCATTGTAGAATCCTCCAAGCTCCAGAAAGACCGCGTCTTCGTCCCTCATTATTCTTCGCACAGCATCACCAGGAAGGGAACCACGTGCGGGGCCTCACTACACACGTAGAACCTGGTAGTTCCTTTATTGGGCCAGTTTTGGTCGGCCCAATGAGGAGACCTTGACCCAGCGCTGGAGGCTATAAATACCCTCTGTTCCAAGAGGGTCAGGTATTCATCTATTACACACACATACATTTTCTACCTGCTCATTTCGTCTCTCATTTTAGCATCGGAGTGTCTTGCAGGTACCCTCATCTCGCTCAAATTCAATTTGAGACGGTCCAAGTCTGATCAGGTAAGATCAAAAACCAAAAAAGAAATTAACATAATACTATTCTCTTGTTATTATAAATTGTTTTAGACTTTCAATATATATTAAAAGTATAATTAATTTTATATAAAAAATAATAATAATTTTGTAAATCATCTCACATGTTCACACATCATGAAATGTTCATGAACCGAGTGGAATGGAGCTAATAGAGTGGAGCGGGACTGATTGCATTCCATCGATTAGATATTTTAAGATGGAGCAAGACAAACACGAAAAATCCGCTTCATTCGATCAGACTCCATCAATCACATAAAAGTAATCAAAAAATAAATCTAACAAATTAAAAAAAAAATAAAAAAAAAAGAGAGAGAAAGTAGTAAATAATTACTAAAATAGAATTTAAGAAAATATCATTAGGACTTACGTCAAAACAACGTACTATATTTTAGTACAAGTTTTTTAAAATAACTTATATAAAAATAACGAAGATATTAATTAATTGTTTGTAAAGAAAATTAAACATCACGTCTAGCGAATAAAACAAAATAAAGTCCTAATACACGAGTAAATAAGGAAGAAGATTTAAATACTATTATTAATCCCTCTGTTCACAAAATAAAAATTATAAGTTTGCTCTATTAATACAAGTACTAACTTCTTGTATAATAATCACTTGAAATATCTGATGTTCTGCTGGCTTAAACGACACGCAAAAACGGATAACAATAGATTTGAGAAATAATTGTCTACAAAACTTTAAACCACTAAAAAGTGTTTCCAAAAAACTACAAGCGGCTTCAATAAAATCTAAATTACTGTGCTTTTGGGTTGCCTTTCTTTGCATGTCCCTTCTTCTTAAAAGACTTCTTTTGAGGTTTCAATTTGTTGCTTGATGAAGCCTTGGATTTATCACTCTTCCTGTTTTTCTCTTTCTTCACATTGTGCACTGTTACAGCCTAGAATGCAGAGAGTACAATTATGAAAAGAACAACAAAAAAAAACAGCTAGCAAAACGTGAAAACAATGTCACTAGTTACTAAGGACTTGAAATGAATGTACCTTGTTAACATTGAGTATATCGTGGTTATTCTTGGACATGATCTTGTTCAATATTTTTTCAGTTTGCTCCCTCTCCATTGATCCGATCCCTGTTCCTTCTGCCACCGGCAAGAACTAGATGAAAAGAATACAAAAGGAAGCTAATCAGCCAATTTAATGAAAGATAATTGTTTCTACACATAATATATAGCTGCTTTTACATGGATAAGATTAAGATAAACTAATTTCTGCAAGAGTTATAGTGCACACCTTTCGGTATTTTCCTTTATGTTGTGCAGGTTTTTCTCCTGGCAATTTCTTGTCAAATTTCCCACCACTAGCTGTGGCAGTTGCTGCAATTCCTGCTACATTGCCCAATTCATCCTTGGTAGCTTTCTTTGGTGCTGCCTGTGTTCCTGTTATGGGCAAAGATGTAGCAGCCAACTGAACATGGCTGCATAGGAAATTCGTTAGATCTGTTTGTTACAGCCTTACAGGTGTAATACAATACAAAGAAATTAGAGTGAGGGTCGCAACTCGCAACAGATTAGCATGAGTAGTTCTATGTAACAGCTTCTTTTGGCCAACTAGTGTCTTGCATATTGAGCACTGTCTATTAAATATACAATGTTGTAATTGGTTATTTCTTCCAACATATTGAACAAATGAAGGAGCCATAACTTGGTACCTTAAACGTGTTCTCAATTTGGCCATGACAGTACCCATGATTTTAACTAGTTCCAAAATGCATACTTAGGTTAAGGATCTAGGCTGATTTGACAAAACCTATAACATAATTAATTTGACAGAGCAGCAACCAAATGGAAACCCATATTATGGCAATCAAAGATGCATTTTTGACACATACAATATAATAACTTTCCCATACAATAAACTGCATGCACAAGTACATGCGTATGATGGGAAGGTACAAAATAGAACTTCATCATGCAACAAAAACCTTAAGGCTAGTTGTAAATGGTTAAGAAAGCAACCTGGGTAAAGCCCCAAACTTTGCAGCATTCTTCAAGTTTTGTAGCCGATTTTTCTCCTGTTTATCAACTCTTCCCTTTTTGTTTTCTCTTCTTTTGGCAAAAGGATCCTCATCTGGATCTGCAAAATGTTACAATACCATTATCAATATGGCACCTTATATCTTTTAAATAGAGTACAAACAAAACAGTAAAAATGGGAAGTATCAATTTTGAAATTTTTATGCACTCATGAACAGTAAAACATGTACTGTTAAAGTAGTCAGAAAAACAAAAACAATAGCGCAAGAGGTTCTCCTGTATTCTTTGCAAGTGGTTTGAAATCAACACATGTAAACTTCCTGTATTCTTTGCAAGTTGTTTGAAATCAAGACATGTAAACTTCAATCGAACTAGACCTAGATTATCAGAGTCAAATATGTATGTCCAAAATGCAGAATGCAAAATATATTTACCCTACAAAAAATTAATATCTGAAGACCAGAGCTCCAAGTTTTAAAGTCATAACCGATGGATGTACATTATATAGATGCATAATATCTAGTCTTGAAAGCTAAGAAGGTGATTGTCATTTTATAATTAAGCATCTGTAATCACATTAAAAATAATAGCAGCCCTGGTAAGGAATGCATATCCAATTATTTACCATCAGTTGGTTTAGCTTCAATAATAGGTATAGCTTCTTCATCATTGGCACGATCATATCCATGTCTGCGTTTCCAGGTTCCAGATTGCTCATCAAATACAACCTTGTCCTTCTTCCTATTCTTAATGCCTGCAACAATTTTAAAAAGAATAAAAAACAAGTCTAAGCCAAACCCAAATCAAACCAGAAAAACACAAACACGCGGGAAGTGGCTAACCTTTCTTTTGTGCAAAAGCTTCCCATTTAGTCGGAGGCTTAGGCCTTGGCAACTGGAAACATTACAAGACTTAATAAGAAAATGATTTCAGTGATTAATAACAATAATAATTATTAATAATGAAAGCGAACGGATTAATACATGTTTCTCTCTGGGTAATTTGGTAGTTGGTGGAGGCAACTTAACAAGTGGTCCATCAATATCTTCAGTAGATGGCAAAGTAAAGAGAGAATCAGCAATAGCTTGAACTAACTCAGTACCTTTCTGCAAACACTCGTTCACCAGTTCAACCCTAGAAAATCAAATCAATTAGGGTTAGAAACACTAACATCGTAGATTATAAATCGAAAATCAAAATAAGAACAAGAAGGAAGAAGAACGAACCTGGATTGTTGTTGGGAGGGAAATGCGTGATGAGAGTCGGACGCCATTAGGTTACCGAGGTCGACCTCGAAGATTTTCTCGCCTTCCATCTCCATATCCATTTCCTTAAGAGTTCAAACGAATTACACAACCCTAATAGTTAAGGAGGATTGGTGAAGAGGATAAATTCGCAGTACGAAACAGCGGTTTAGTTCTATTTCAATGGCGGCTGCTAGGTTAAAGGAAAGGGAAGAATTGAAACTTACCAAACTAATGTGATGAAATATTTAATAAAACTAAAGAGCATAAATAAAATATAAAATATTATAATAATACTTTTATTTTATAATCATATTACAATTTCAGCATTATATTTAGGGTAAATGTTTTTTTAATAAAACTTATGATTAAACTATTAATTTTTTATAAAATTTAATATATTATGTGTTCTATGATCATGGATCGGTGATTAGAGGACGCGGATTGCAATAGTGAACTTGAGTTTTCAATGTTGGAAAACAGGTTAATATGTAAGTTTAACACTCCAATACTCAAGTTAGCATGAGAGTAAGATGAGTGAATGAAGTATGAATTTAAATTGTACATGAAAAATTACGCGAGCAACTCTTATATAGTAGGGTGTTTATAACAGTTTGCTAAATTTTAGGCGTGGAATGCGGAGATTTGTCTGATGGATCTTAGATTTAGATCGTTTAGACTATATACTAAGATAGTGTCTCATCTATTTAAGTGACGCGGTGGATCGGTATGCTCTCTGGTTTGTAACTATTAGGCCTTTTGACTTATCCAAAACAGTTGTCCCCCAAGTCATTGCCTCTGCTCTTTAGGGTGAGGGTTATGTTGTGTTTGTCTTCTTCTACCAGTCATAGCCTGGCTTGAGAGAAAAGCCAAGATCTAACGTCATTTTCATAGGGAACTTGCATGGTCGTAGCCTGGATTTACTACAACCTCATGGAGGAACTTGCATGGTCGTAGCCTAGATTTATTACAACCTTGGGGAGGAACTTGCATGGTCGTAGCCTAGATTTACTACAACATCGGGGAGGAAATTCCCTGGTATCCGATCTTGAAATTGAGATTCTTTTGAGGCACGCGAAAGGTGTCGCACACTCCGGGTATTCCAACTCTTATTTTCTTGGATCATCTAGGGCCTTGTACTCCAAAGGAGCATCGAGCGTCTATTTTGGAAGAAGATTGCTCTTACCTTGCTAGCCTAACTGACGAAGCCTTTGAGGAAGAGTTTTCAAACATGACGTACTACACCTGACGGGCATCTTCCATTTTGGCCATTGGTTGAGCCAATTGTATGGACGTATTTTTAACTAATTTGCTACGTAAGGAGAAATAATGGTTGTAGGGCAGTGCCTGTAATCTCACGTTTTGGCATGATATGTACATGTAAGAAGTAAAGAAGGCTCGTGTTTCTCTTATTGAGGTAGGTATCATCTTGAATGCTCTCAACCTCATTGGCTTTTTAGTTGATTAGGTAGAGTTAATAGCGAGAGAAATGGCAAAGAATGATAAAGTTATAGCTTTCACTCGGGCTTCATTGTCTGTCCAAGGGAATCTCTTTCAATTGCTCAAAGAGATATCGAGAGTTTATGCCTTAAGAATGCCTCTTTGGCCCAAAAAAGTTGGATAAAGCAAGTAACGTCGGCCTTATGACTATCTTGAAGATGCAAGAAACACAAGAAATTGGGGTTTGAATTGGGTTTCTCAAAATAAAATTTCTTCAAACTCAAACACCAACTATTAACAGAAGAATAAAAATAAATGAACACAATTATTTTTATCTTGATTCACTGTTAACGAAGTTAATCCAGTTCACCCGCCAAGGTGATTTTGCCTTCTCAATAAGGACTTAATCTAATATAACCAAACAGATTATAGAACCACAACAAGACTACTTGTCATTGTTAGAAACCACAAACACCAATTGTCTTTTCCTTCTTAAGTATATAGACTAACACTTAGTCACTCAAGGAACCAACCTCAAAGACAAACTGCCAATGACTTCTTGAGTCTACAGACTAACACCTTAGTCACTCAAGGAACAATCAAATCACTGTTAAATACAGATTTTTTTGTTTACAAGATTTCTTCTTACAAGCGGATTACACAAGATTGAAGTACAAATAATAACACAAAAGTGTTAAGCAAGTTAACCAACAAAAGTTCCTTACTAGCAAGTTAATGAGCAATAACTCATTGCTTTAAAAAAATTATAGAGTTATTTTGGATGCGTTTCAGCAACTTAAATAAGCGTGAGATTCTTCAAAGTTCTTCAACATTTCCAAGTCTTCCAAGTCTTCCTTTTATAGCTGAAAAGAAATTCATTGGAGGGTATAATAGGAATACCAAAATTTTAGTTGTCTTCTTGCAACAGTCAGTGAGAGAGTAGTAGACAATCTAGTACAAAAGTATTGTCCTTGTACCCCAAAACCAGCATAGTAGAGTCAAGGTGATGTTATACCTTATATTATCGCTCACGGGAAACCTTTTGATCTTCTCTTCTAAACTTCAGAGGCTTTTGGATGTGTAATGGTTGAAGCATTTGTAGAAGGATCAAAGCTAAGTCTCTATAACCATGTCATCAGAGTCTTCAGAACTTGTTCAACCTGAACCTTGGCTTTAGAGTCTTCGGCACTTGGTCTTTAGAACCTTCATAACCTTTTCTTCAGAGTCTTCAGAACTTCATTCAACCGAACCTTGTCTTCAGAGTCTTTAGAAGTTTGTCTAGAGAATCATTGGTCTTCATAATCTTTAGATCTCGTTCAACAGAACCTTGTCATTCGAATCTTCAAAACTTGGGCAAGATAACTTAGAACCTTCAGAGCTTTAAAACATATCAGAACCTCTACTATGGAATCACAATTAGAAGCAATAAAACTAACGTTATATCAGAACAGTTGTTTTAAGACACGTTTTAAGACACATTTTAAGCCATGAAACATAAACTTGTATTCTTCAGTGTGTTGAGTTAAGAATCTGATGATGTCACGTGTCAGTTCTTCATAGTCAGAACCTGCTAGCAAAAGCTACACACTAAACGAATCATTAGGGTACTAAATTGTTATATAATCACACATATAATGTTATCATCAAAACTCAAGGTCAAATGTAGAACCAAATATTGTTCTTATAATCTCCCCCTTTTTATGATGACAAAACCATGTATTTTGATAAACAAGTTATATTGGTTTTCAATCACATAAAACACTTTCAAAATTAGCTAAGAAGCTCCCCCTGAGTTCTACATTCCTAGAACTTGTTTAATCTTGTTTAGAATCTCCCCCATGAGATCAAGACTTAAAGAAGTTTTGAGAGGTAGCATAAAATAATCAGAATGAAGGAATACTTCCATGATTGAAGACCTATCATACTTCTGACTAGTGATGCAGAAATCTTCATCTCGGATTTTGGCTTGCTATCAATGTTTGATGAGGTATATGACCTGGTTTACCATCAGAGTTTGAACAATGTTGCAGAAATCTTCATCTTAGATTTTGGCTATACTCATATGAAAATCTTAAAGACAGATAATGATATTTTGAAGGAAGAATTAAAAATGTATCCAGACAAATTTGAAACTCTTTGAACAAGATCATAAGGCTCTCTTAGATAAAGCTTATGATAAATTTGTAGATGAGCATTAGATAACTATTCAAAGCTTTATCAAAACTGGTCTTGAGAGAACCAAAATTGCCTTCATGATCTATGGAGTAAGTAAGAGCAAAGGATAAGATTTGGGTTATGATGGATCATTCTCCAGAGTTCAGCTCTTAAAGAAACCCTTAGATCCTTCTTCTTCAAGCAGTGCTAAAACAGTGCTAGAAATTTATTTTGTGCCAGCTTCTGATAAGGGTAAGAATTTGACCCAGTTAGAACCCAAGATAAATGATTCAAAAGAACTTACTAAACCTGCACTTGAGACTTCAAAGTCAAAGGTACTAAAGAACCCAATTCCCAAGAATCAGCAATTAAAGGTTAAAATCATATTAGAACCTAAAGTTTAAAAGTCAAATGTTTTGAGGAATTTAGAACCAATGACCTACAGGCCAAAGGTTTTGGAGAAACCAGAACAAAGAACATATGAACCAAAGAATCAGAAGGATTCAAAAACTCATGTCAAGACTCATCCAAGACAAAAAAAATTATAGATCAAACGTCTAGATTGAGCTTAGGCATTACTATCATGCAAAAGCACAATACAAGAAAAAGCTTGTTAGAACTAATAATAGGGGACCCATAAGAGCATGGGTGCCTAGATCTCAAATTGTATTTGATACATATATGCACAAAAGAAAAGACAGTGCTACAATTCTAATTCCAGGACAATGGCTTTTTATTAGATATAAAATAAATAAGGCATACATTCCAAATCATAACACTGAAAGAGGAAGCAAGTGCTGATTTTGGAAAGAGCCACATTGGACAGGTTTTGGCTATGGATTCTATTGATTCTTTGGTTTCTTCAGTTCATCCATAAGAGAATTGTTGGAACAAACTGGCATTTGAAACATTAGTTGGATGAACAGACTTAAGTAATCAACAAGGTAAAATAGAATCTATATGTATCAGTCTGAGAACTCAATGGAAACTTCGAAAGAAGTTCAATCTTAAAGACTGATTATGTCTAAGCTGAGCAACTCCTGCAGAAATCATGCTGCTCAGATTATTAAAGGAGATTTGCATCAAGAAGGATCAAAAGCTCCTTCAAGAGGTATGTTCTCTCTATTTTACCTTTTCGAAGGATAGAAAAACATAAGAAAGGGGGTTTGAATTGGGGTTTTCAAAAATTAAGGCTATAAAACATGTTGGTTATCCTGGTTCATTTTGAACTCAAAACTACTCCAGTCCACCGCAAAGGTGATTTCGACTCTCTCAATCGAGGTCTTAATCCACTAATCATAAATAATTACAATTCACGAAGACAATTGTCAACATCCACTTGAGATGAAACCACAACTTGGTTTCTCAAGGAATTACAACTAAATAATAATTATACAATGTGTTTGAGTTTTTCCTAACAAGCTTTATCACAACTTAGATGTTTACACAAGTTTAGCACAAGGAATATTTTAAGAGATAAGTAATATGA